CAATCCTTTAAATTGGCCACACACGTTTAACGAGGTTAGAACTAACATCCAGTTTTAGATGCTAATGTATAGTACGAATCGAAGGCAATAATCAGATGAATTATACATACAGTGACCCAAAGAGAAAATCAGCCACCTAAAATTATATGTTGTGTGTTGAAATAATTTATAGTATATATTTAATTCTTTTTCATGATTTCTACAAAATAAATTATAGTACTAGCATGACCTTGATACCAATTGTTGAGTTTTAATCAAATAATTCATATATAGAAATCACGAATATTACAATTAATTAAATAGAGAATTTAGTCTCGTACCTAATTGATAATTAAATCAGATATACCTTTTGATTTTGGATGATAACCTTACAATTCTTTGTAATCCTGCAAAACATTAGAATGTTTTACCCCTTTCTGAAAGTTGTCATTCGATAGGGCTGAATAAGGGTTTAAAACCCTTATTTATATCAACAATAGGGGGGGGGGGGGACGGCTTCTCTACAAATAAACATACCTAAGTCTTCCTTCCTATCATAGAAACTTAGATATAAATGGTTAGAATTAAATCATACCAAATAAGTTGGAAAACCACAATCCAATCGTATAAAACCATACTCCCAATTAGACCACCAAATTGGAAAGTATAACCCAATCCATCAAGTATCAATAATCACATTGCAATCCTATTTTAGAAAACATAGTGCATAGGACCATAAATAATTTTTATTATTTATATATATATAAATTTCCAACTTTACATTCATATAATATATTAGTTAAAAAATATATATGGCCATTGCCATAACTAGGGTAGAAGAAAAAAAGAAGTTTTTCAAAGAAGAATAGAAAAGATCGATGAAGTCAGGGAATCCAAAGAGGCAGTTGTAGGCTAAACTAACACAACCCTTTGAACCATTGCATCCGTTGGTCGTGTCCTCTAACGAATAGACGCCATATTTCAGATGTTTCTAGAATAAAACGATATTGTAGTTAATCTGGAATGTTGTAATGGATGGTGAAGTGATGCACCCAATCCCATTAGACACTACTTTATCTATAAATACCCAACATCCCAAGGCTGCATGGAATATTTTGAATTCACATAATTCTACGTGAATTCTCATACTTCTCTCTCTCTCTTTTAAACCCAGGTGGTTCAAATCCATTGGTCAAGTAGTTCAAACCACTAGACCCAACATCTATAGCAATGAGCCATATTGCAATTAGTCCGAGCCAAATGGTTCAGATCAAACCCAAATTCATTCTTTATATAGAAGAGATGCATTTTTTAATCAAAAAGAGTATTACACAGAGGTGATTCGCCATATCCATGAGTTTAAAGTGCTGCTACTGGTGGATGGAGACCATTGTATCCTGTGAGATAATCACCATGGAGTTCGTCGCACCATGCGGGGTGTAAATTGTCTTAAGGACATAGTATCAAATACTAGCCTTAGTCGAGGTCCTTTATTTTATTATTATTATATATTATTTTATTGTATTATTTTGCATGTTTAATTAAATATTGAGTTGAACATTTAATTAATTATTTCTTGTATATTATTAATTATCTCATAGCATATTAATATAAAGTTTGTTATATCTTAAATGTCACATAAAACATATATTTTCCACCATATAGTAATACAAAAGTGCAATGTAATAGCATCTTCTTACTACTTTATTGATTTAGGATCAGAGGTGTTGCTGAGGGGGTTGGTTGGTGTTATAGTAAACTAAAATTAACTCCTAAAAATAAAATAAAATACATGTAACAAATTATCTTCCAATGCAATTTTAATGTATATTTTTAAGAGCACTTCTATATTTATTTTTCCCTTGCATGTCTATAAATTATATGAGAAGAACAAAATGGAGAAAATCAGTTGACAACTGATAAATGAAGTTAACAGGTGTCAGATATATATTTTTTTTCTTCTCTCTTGATTCATAACAAATAATATATATATATATGTGTGTGTGTGTGTGTGTATATATATGAATAGAGTACGTTGTACCAAGAATTAAAATAATAATTAATACTTTTTCTTACTAATTTTGATTTTTTTAAAAAAAAAGAATAAAATTGTTCAATGAATTTTGAGGGGTCACAAGTAATTTTTTTTTTGCAATTCACCATAAATAACCATAAATATTATCTTTTTAAAATTTTGTTCGGGGGTTTTGGAGGGTGAGCCATCCCCCCCCCCCCCCCCCCCCTCTCTCATTTTCATTTTTTTGACATTTTACCCGCTGTATTATCAAACCACCCCATGTACTACAAAAAGTTTCATATAAAGACAAATCATCAACGAAATCGTTAATTGACAAATAAAATTACCAAAAAGGTTTTTTTTTTTTTTTGAAAAAAAAAAAAATATATATATATATAAGGGTTACTTTATAAATAAATAAATAATTATACTTTCATTTTTTAACACTTTACTCCCTGTACTACTTCTCATGCTGGAATTGATGTTACCATAGGCTTCTGAGATATGCTGAAGTTGTTGTTATGACAGACTTTTGGAATGCAGAATGAAGATGGTTGTTTTTTTTTTTTTTTTTTTTTTTTGGGTGGTGATCGAACCCGGGGCATAACCCAAGTCGCCTACGTATCTTTTAAACAAGGAATAAGGTCTAACGTAGTTCAACCCAGCTATGGGTTGAAGACGAGGTTCAATACGATGATTAATATGACTGAGGGCGCTGTATGCAATGATAATGTCTTGAATTGTGCTTATATTGAACTAGAAGAAATCTTTGTTTTGGACTTAGCACCCTTTCGGATTTTACGCTAGGCCCGGTTGAACACTTCTTTACCCTTAGTGCCTGACTCTCAGGTCCTCACTAAGTCTGACTCTTTCTCTCCCTTACCTTAGAGTACAGTCAATTAGGAAGAACTTTTGAAAGGCTTGAGTGGTAAGTGGGTTGAAGGAGATATTTTGAGATCTACCCCAATCGGTTGGAGTAGTGAGAAATTTTTTGGAAAGGGGTTGCAAACTTCGAGTGTTAATTTCTTAAAAATTTTCCCAACTTTGTTGGGGGGCTTAATTGCTTGATTTTTATTGATTTGTTTTACTTCTTTTTGAAGAAGGGTATTGCCTTGACTTAGAATTGTACAAGAATATAATAAGAAGTGGGCTCGAAACTCAAAAATTGCCCCACCTTATGGTTAGGGAAAAGGGTTCGATGTATATATAGAAATAAGGGCCTTCCGTCACCCTGACCGAGCCCACTCTCTTTATACATAGTAGAGCTTGACAACATCTGAATTATTGGCTATGGGAATTATTCTCCATCCATTTCTGTAAGAATGAGGGCTCCTCTAGTTAAGACTCTTTTCACGACAAATGGCCCTTCATAGTTGCGGGGCAAAATGTTATTTAGCTTTATCTTGGCACGTAGAGATCTTTTTGAGAAAAAGGCCTCCATCCTTGAAATGACGATGTTTAACCTTCTTGTTGTAAGCCTGAGCGGTGCGCCGCCGGTAGCATTGGCCGTAACAAATAGCTCTCAGTTGCTTTTCATCTATTAGGCAGAGTTGGTCATATTGGGATTGTACCCATTTCGCTTCCTCAAGCTAAGCTTACATGAGGATTCTGAGTGAGGGGATCTCTACTTTTACGAGTAGAACTGTCTCCATCCCATATACCACATAATATGGGGTGGCCCCTTTTGATATTAAAAAAAAGTGTGGTAGGCAATGTGGGCATATGGAACTTCTCATGCCAATCACGGGAGACGCTTGTCATCCTTCTAAGAATCTATTTAATATTTTTGTTAGCTGCTTTAACGGTTCTGTTCATTTGAGGTCGATATGTGACTGAGTAGTACTGAGATATCTTGAATTGCTCGTTGGCCTTCCCGACATAGTCATTCTCGAGATTCTTTGCATTATCTGAGATGATGGCCTCTCAGAAATCATACCTGCAAATGACATTACACCTAATGAACAACTCGACTGTCATCCCTAATGAAAAGGATATGGTGGTAAATTCATTAAAATAGTTTCATTTCATTTCTTTCTTCAACTGTGATTATTATCCTTCCAAAAATTTTCCCCTTTATTAGTTAACCAAACATGGTAAGTGTCAACCAACTCCTATTTTTTTTTTCCCCCACTAATATTATAATTTCTTTTCTTTTCCACTACACCAAACATACCCTTACGGACTTGAATTTTGTTTTACTTTTGTAATATGAAGTGACCAAGAGTCTTGTGGTCTAGTGGTATGGACAAAGTAAGTGTGTGAGTGATGCATGCGTTTTTGGCCTATGAAAAAAAAAAAGAAAAAAAAAAAAGAAGAAATAGAGCATTTAAAAGATAATTATATAAATAATTTCTTAAGCAAAAGTAATGGGGTATAGTAATAGAAAAGTACAATGTCAATATGTATCATCTTTCTATACTTGTGTTATTTATTTATAAATCTTTAAAAGTTATAAGAGCTTAGTATGCCCTTGTGAGATAAATAGTTAATTTAATTGTTTTTCAAATTGAATTTTCGAGACTGTACTATATTGTTATAATCTCTACCCTCCATAGTGCAAGATCCAAATTTCAAGTTTTTAATAAAATATGTGTAATTTATTTGCAACAAAGACTCAATTTATCTAATGAAATACATACATTTTGAGCTCAAACTGTTTAATTATTTAAAAATGAGAATGATAAGTTTACTTGATTTTTCATTCAAAAAATAATTTTTTATTTTTAGTTAACTGAGAATTAAAAAATTTTACAAAATTTAGTTTGTTTCAATCTTTTGAAAAATATTTTTTGAAAACTCAATTATAAAAAATTTATCTTGAGGACCTTTTTTTTTATTATTATATGGTATGTAAGTGCAAGTCCAAATGTAAAGAAAGAAAAGAGAAAAGGGTAAAAAAAGAAAGCTGTTTTATTGAGTTCTCTCACATCAACATCGATCCACGTTTAACAATATAGTGGAATTATGTGAAACGTTACATATAATAATAGTTTAGTTTTTTTCAATCGAATCTCACGACTTCACTTCGTGTCACCACCTACCGTCACCACCCCCTGGCTGACTCCAACAGCTGGGTCCATTCCCCTCTTTCGTCCCTTCTCCGCAAACCCCTCTCTCTCCTCTCTCTAACCACCACCACCAACTCCACCACCTCCACCATTTTAGGATTAGGGTTTTAACAATGCAATCACCACCACCACCATCACACTCCGTTCAATCCGAGCCCTCAGAAATGGACACCTTCTCAAACACAGTCATCGACGAACCCACAGCATCGCTCTGGGATTGGAGCGATTTCCTCGATTTCAATCTCGACGATCAATTGGCCCTTTCCTGGGACTCCGACCAACCACCGCCCTCGGAACCCCATCCGGTAGATGAGATTCCGGCGTTGTCGGCGGAAATTCCCGGCCGGGTTAGGAAACGAGACCCTAGGATGACGTGCTCAAATTTCTTGGCGGGTCGGATCCCCTGCGCGTGTCCGGAGCTCGATGCGAAGCTCGAGGAGGAAGAGGGTGGGCAGGGGAAGAAACGGGCCCGGACTGTGAGGGCGGCGACTGGGACGGCGAGGTGTCAAGTTCCTGGGTGTGAAGCCGACATCAGCGAGCTCAAGGGGTATCATCGGCGGCATAGGGTTTGTCTACGGTGTGCGAATGCTACTGCTGTTGTTCTTGATGGGCAGAGTAAAAGATACTGTCAGCAGTGTGGCAAGTAAGCAAAATTCGCTGTGTTAGGGGTTTTAATTCAGCTTATAGTGTTTTGGGTAGGCATATACGGCTATGATATTTGTATATAGTGTAATTTAGAACTTAGGATATGATTTTGCTGAGATAAATTTTGACACATATAAATTAAAGAGAATATTTGGCTGCAAAGGTTCCATCTTACAGAGGGGCTCTATGCTAAAAAAAAAGGAAATCATTATCTGCACAATTTTTTTTTTGTACCTTCTTTCCCATCTTTTGGTGTTGCAATGAGGAAAGAGAAATAAGGGCTGCAAAAGACAAATAAACAAAGGGAGGTGTGAGGGATGTGAAAACAACAATAGTTCATGTGATGTGCCTATGATACCAATAAGAGGGAATTTCCAGCCAGCTATGGTGGCGATTATGTGCAACATAGTGGTGATAATATTACACTCCTGGCAGGAGAAATAACTTAGATGTTTCAAATTTACAATTTGGAACTGTAGGAAAGCAGCACTACTTTTGTTGATATTTTAAGTTTTCCACTTATTGATTGCAGCCACTGCTTAGTGCAATGTGAATACTGGGCATCTTAAATTGCTAGGATCAAAGAATGTGGAATGATATTGTTTTGGAATCATTTTGAAGGAAGACAATATCACATAGGCTTTACAGAACTGTAATAAAGCGGTGGAACCTTTTAAAAAGATTGTTACTTGAAAACTTATCAAAAGAGAAAAATAAAGATTATCACCTGGCATTGTAATAAACTAGGATTCTTATTATAGTTTCTCACATTTAAGAAAATGCAGCAAAAATGAGTAAGACACCCGATAGAAATAATGTGATCCCTTGTTTTCCAATTGAGGTGTCAAGCCATCTTCATGGGATCTGCGGATGCATGGGTGCCAAATCAATTACGTCTTCAACGTATTAAGAATTTTGTGGGATCTGCGGAGTTGAATGAATTATTTCTGGAACTTTATTTATTTGTGTATAAGAGCCATGATGTTCCATGTGCCGACTCTTGCTGATGCATTTTCCATTCCAGTCTTTTATTACATCTGGAAGGGTTTGAGATTTGAATGATATTTCTTTCTTTTTTGTAACTTCTGAAAATGACTGCCAAAGCTCTGTCGAGATCAAAGTATGTAGACTTAATGTTTTAAGTAATATTTTGTTGCAGTTATGGAAAATGAGGAAATCTGCTTACTTTTTGAGTGAAAAGATACTTACTGGACCATTTATTTTTGGGATAAATAAATGCACTAATTTTTTCTTGTGTGTTTGACTTGATTTTCTGCCAATGTTTTTGTTCTTTGGCAGATTTCACATCTTGTCAGACTTTGATGAAGGTAAACGTAGTTGTCGGAGAAAGTTAGAGCGCCACAACAATAGACGCCGAAGAAAACCAGCTGAGTCCAGAGATGCAGTTGAAAGGGAATCTCAAGGGGCCCTTTTGAGTGAAGATGTTGCTTGTGATGATGAAGCCAGGAAAGGTATCATCAACACCACCCCTATTTTCAACAACCCTGACGACTCCACTGCAATATGTTGAATTGTGGTAGATGATTTAGATCCGCTCAAGTAATGCATTATATGAACTCTTCCCATAAGTATGGGAGTGATAACTAACATAATCTCTCTATTCATACTACATTGGCTCACCTTGTTATCCCTATCTATCTGTGCTTTCTGATGTGGTTAGAAATGTTAAACGGGTCTAAACGGTGTGTTGCTTGTTGCACAGATAGCACATGCTTGAGCAGCCAAACCGATGAAAAGGAAGCATTATTAGAGCACGAAGATCGACGCAATTCAACACTTTGCTCTGCTCATGATTCCCAAAACATCCAAAGTGATAGTGTTTTATCCTTTGTGTCTTCTGATGAAACCCTAATGGATGGAGAAAAAGATAATTCTAAAACTCTTTTTTCACCCTATTGTGACAATAAGAGTGCCTACTCATCTACGGTAGTCCTTTGATGATTGCAATCTTTGTTGTCCTGCGCTTCTGTTTTTTTGTTTATTCGAGGAGCTTACTTAAATTGAGTTATATTTATTTGGTATCTTATTGTAGTGCCCAACTGGTCGGATCTCATTCAAGCTTTATGATTGGAATCCTGCAGAGTTCCCAAGAAGACTTCGGAATCAAGTATTTAAAGGATTATTATTACAGTTTAGTATTTAAGAGAGAATAACGGTTTTCTTTTTATCCATCAGAAATATTGGAAGTTGATTAACATTATGGTAAATGTATTTGCAGATATTTCAGTGGTTGGCCAGCATGCCCGTTGAGTTGGAGGGGTATATTCGTCCTGGCTGTACAATCTTGACTGTGTTCGTTGCAATGCCAAAGTCTATGTGGCTCAAGGTAATGGTCATAGTTATGCTCTATTCAATATCCAATAGGGTTTTGTTGAGGCTTGTAATATTCATTGCAAAGACAGTTAGTCTCTCTCTGTGTCTCTCTCTTTATTCTGGTAAGTAAATTATTCATGTTTTTTAGTGGTTGTTTCGACTATCTGTTAAGAAAAAGATAATCTTTGATTAGAAAATCGTATTTGGGAGCTATCTTGTTAGGCACTCATTAAATGCCTATTTGCATGCATATTACGTAATTCAGTCTTATTTGTTTATATTTAAAGCCATCATATCTCTAAAGCTGTTACTTTTGAATTTAGTTTTATATTTGATCGGTAATTGTATCCGATGTAACCAGTCTAGATCAGGGGTTTTGCTTTTCGGATTTCTGACTACATTCCTCAGCAGGGTCTACAAAATTTAACTTTGGTCATAAATTGCATTGAGCAGTTATTTGAAGACCCGGCCATATATATACATGACTTTGTCATTGCACCTGGAAAGATGCTATCTGGAAGAGGCACCTTACTTGTTTATCTAAATGACATGATTTTCCGTGTAAGGAAAGGTGAGTTCATGCATTAAATTCTAACTGTATATCATTGCTCTAGCGCTGCTCAATTTGTGTATTGCAGTGTCTTTGGATGTGGGTTGGTTTTTGTTTTCATTTGTTATTTTCTTTATGTATTATGATGTGGGAATTCTCAACTTACAGCCTTTAGTTATTTAGTTTTAAGTTCTTAATTTTGATGATCATGAATCTAGCAAGCCCAGTTATGATACCAGAAGGGACGTATGAAAAGGCATCAATTTGAGAAAGTAGAAAAATTATATCAGTTGTAGCTGCGAGAATGGCTTTACATTTCTGTATGGCAATGTAGAAAATGTTCATATAAGGAGGTGGTTCGACTAGCAGTTATATATGAGAAAAATGAGGATACAAAAGTCAATCAAAGAAAGAGAAGCCTTTTTGGTTTTTGGAGTAATACCCCAAACTCTGTACTCAAATCTCTTAGTTGTATAAAAAAAAAAATTGACTTCCTGGTAAAGGGACGGATGTCGAATGCAAAATTTATCAAAGTATAATATTCCCTTCCACCCCCACGACCCAGCTAAGAAACTTTTTTCCATTCTTGAAAGGCCAGGTCTTCCTTATTCTTCACATAAACATTTGTATCACTCCGCTAGGAAACACACCCTATGACTACAATGGTTAAAGCCAACACATATGTAAGACCGGTACTATCTTCAATTTTTTTGGAGTTTTTGGAATAACATAATTATTTGAGATCACTCTATCTCTCTTTTTTATTTATTTGATAACTAATAATTCATTAAAAGCACTCAAAAGGGGAGCGCGTCCAAGAGAAATACAAGCCGCCTACAGCGACACAACAACTTTAAGCTATCCACAAAATCCAACAGACTATACATAGATTTACAATTTCGCCCATTGACCCAAAAGAATAAAGAAGACAATATATTGTATTTGAGAGACCAAGTAGGAGGTTCCTCCCCATCAAAGGATCTCCTATTTCTCTCACGCCTGGCGCCACAAACCCCACCAAAGACAAAGGGGAGTGGCCCTCCAAGTATCTCTGATTTGGCTCTCCACTATACACCCTTTCCAAGCCTCTAACAAATCAACTGTGGACTCAGGAAACACTCAGGCCACACCAAAAGCAACCAACAACATAGCCCAAATATCCCTCACCATGGGCAGTGAAGTAGAAGGTGGTTCACAGATTCCCCCGACTTCTTACACATGCAGCACCAGTTCACCACAACAGGTTGTCAAGAGTGAGTATGCTTCCAAGGGCAGCAAACCATGTAAAAAAAGCCACCTTCAAAGGGGCTTTCGTTCTCCAAATAGCTCTCCAAGGGAAAGAGGGGCCAAGGATCTCCATAAGACTTTGGTAAAAGGATCTAACCTCAAATACCTCTCTCACAGATCCCTCCCACACTATCTCATCCAAACCCACACCCTTCACCACCTGGTTGTAAATCAAAGCAAGGAAATCTGGATACTTATCAAAAAAAAAAAAAAAAGGCAAATCTGGAACCTCCAAAAGCTCCCAATCATGGAACTCTCTGCGAAACTGCACATCCCAAGTCACCCTTCCATTATCAAGTCGATAATAGTCAGTAATTGCAACATGTTTGTTCACAGAAATCCGAAAAGGCAATGAAATCTATGAGCCAACACAAAGTCCCCACACCATTGGTCTTCCGAAAATCTAGCGTTCCTCCCGCCCTTGACTTTGAACCGAATGCGTTTGGAAAACTCATCCCAACCCTTCCGTATGAGTTTCCAAGATCCTATGCTTGCTGGAGCTCTCGTCTCCCTAGATAGCCACCCTCCATCTCCCTCACCGAATTGGCAGGAGATAACTCATCTCCATAATCTTGTCCTCTCGCCCCTAAATCTCCACAGCCATTTCCCCAACAACGCCTTATTAAACATACCAGCCTTCGAATTCCCAAACGTCCCTTTGAAATAAGGGGACAAACCCTCTCCCAGTTAACTAAATGGTATTTGAACTCATCTCTCATGCCTCCCCACAAAAAATTACTCTGAATCGCATCAAGTCTTCTAACCACTGTCATAGGCATTTGGAAAAGGGACATAAAATAGGTAGGGAGGTTCGAAGGGGTGCTTTTCATAAGAGTGAGCCTCCCCGTTTCTTCCAAGCCACAAGCCTCCTCTCGAATCTCTCGACAATCGGGTCCCAAATTGAAATCCTCCTCGACGAAGCCCCCAGGGGGAGTCCCAAATAAGAAATCGGGAAAGAACCAACACCAAATTGCTAACTCTTGAATCACCCATTTATGGCGGGTCATAAATGGGTTGGGTGTTTCATGGGCGAGTCAACCCACACCCAAACCAATGACCCGAATGTTTTTAGACACAAATCGTCACTGTATATATATATATATATATATAGTGTTATTTTTAGAATAGTTCCTATAAATGTATATATATATTTATGAAAAGTCACATGTTAGAACTCTTACACTAATATTAATAATGTATATATTTAAAAAAAAAACTGATTGGTGACAAGGGTTTTGTTTATTTTCTTAATGAGGAGAGAGAGAGAGTACCAGAAGAGGGTTACACAACAAAAAAAAAAAAAAAAAAAAGGAAAAAAAAAAGAGAGAGAGAAATGGAGAGGATAGGAAAAAGGAAGGAGAGAGAAACAACAGAAGAGAGAGTAAAAAGAAAGGAGAGAGAATACGAGAGGGAGAATACGGAAGAGAGAATATAGAGGAGAGAAACAAGAGACGAGAGAGAATACTAGAGGGAGGAAAATATGGCGGAGAGAGAATTTCGAGGAGAGAATACGCGAGGGAGGAGAGGGAATACGAGAGTTGAGAGAGAAAAAGAGAGGAGAGAAATTATTAGGTGGTCCGTACCCACACGTAATTTGTGGTCTGGATCAATAAAAAAAGTTCTGTATAAATTTTTTTTAGAAAATTTTACACATCATCTAAATGACAGGCCCTTTTGACCTTTCTCTTTCAAATTTCTCTCTACCAGTCCCTTTCTCTTTCTAACACCTCTTTTCTCCCATATCTCTATAACTTTTCTCTTTTGTCTCTCTAACTTCAAGTTCCCTTTTTTAGAAAGGATCATGTGGTGCGTTGGGAGTGGATACCCACTCTTAACCCACTAAATATATTACTCATTAATGATTGACCCATTAATAACCCGGTCAACTAAACTACTCACCCAATAATCACTAATTATTGGGCGGGTATTTGGGTTTGGGTATATTTTGCCAATCCTAAGATTGTCAACTTATTGCCAGTCCTACCCATTGACAATCCTTGGATAAAACCAAGCTACTTCCGCCCTCCCCATCAATTTACTGAAAGCCTCCATGGCAATGATGAACAAAAAGGGGGGAAGAGGGTCCCCCTGCCGCAATCCACGAGAGCTAGCAAAAAATCCTGCTCGGGAGCCGTTCACTAAAACAGAAAAGCAAGCAGTTGAAATGCACTGATAAATCCATGTCCGCCACCTGTGTCCAAACCCCATCCTCTGCAACATATCAATCAAAAGTCCCAGCATACATGGTGATAGGCTTTCTCGATATCCAACTTGCAAACACCCTCTGGAACGTTGCTTCTGACCCTAGCCTCAATACACTCGCTGGCAATTAACACAGAATGCAGAATCTGTCTTCTACCAACAAATGCATTCTGCGACTCTGAGATCACCCCATCCAAGACTCTCCTTAACCGGATTGCTAATACTTTCGCAAAAATCTTGTAAATTGCATACACTAAGCTAATAGGCCTGAAGTCCTTGGCCTCCAAAGCTCCAACCTTTTTAGGAATAAGGGTAATAAAGGATGCATTAAGGCTCTTCTCAAATACTTTATCAGCAAAGAAAACCCCAATGGCTGCCATCACTTCATTCTTCACCACCTTCCAATTCTGTTGAAAGAAAGCAAGGGTGAACCGATCCAGTTTTGGCGCTTTGTCACCATCACAACTCCTCAAGGCCTCCATCACCTTCTCCTCCCCGAACGGCCTCTCAAGCCAATCTCTATAACCTTCTGAAATTTCTGCAAAACCGAGCCCATCCAGCACTGGTCTCCAACTAGTGGTCTCTGTGAAGATCTGCTCATAAAACGACACAAACCCATTCCGGATGTCCTCTTCCCTAGTAACCATATTGCCATCAAACGCATTCTCCCAATGTGTTTTCTTCTTCTGTAAGCATTAGCGAATCGGTGAATTTGTTTTTGTATTTTGATCCCCTTCTTCAAGCCAAAGAGCCCTAGACTTCTATCTCCAAGAAACTTCCTCCGTCTCCACAATTTCTTCAAACTGGGTCTTACACTCCTCTCCTATTAACCTCCCTTTCACTAAGTCCATGCTCTCCCTCCTTATCCAATTCTGAAATCTCAAGAAGCGGCCTTTTCTTCCGCCATTCAAGATTACCAAACACATCTCTGTTCCAAATCTTGATGTCTTCCTTCAAACGCCTAATTTTGGATGCAAGTTGGAAGCTCGGGCTTTGTACCCAGTCCACCAATCCCGGATACTGTCTTTGAAATCCTCGACTCTAAGCCTCATATTTTCGAACCGAAATGGGGTTCTCCTTCTCCTCACCCCTACACAATCAAGAAGAATAGGAATATGATCTGAGACCGCACGAGCCAATGCCACCTGAGACACATCAGGGAACATCTCCTCCAAATCACTAGAAATAAAAAATCTGTCCAACCTTGACAACGTGGGGGGACTCCTGCCCACTAGACCAAGTGAACTGGCCTCCCTCCATTGGGAGGTCGAGAAGAAGCTGAGAGTCAATGAATTCTGAAAATTCTGTCATTGCTAAGGTCCAGTTACCCCCCGTGGATCTTTCACTAGGCATTCGGACAACATTGAAATCCTCCCCTACACACCAAGGGCCCATCTCCTTCTAGCCAACCCCAACTCCACCCACAACTCTCTCCTCTCCACATCCCCTCCCGGTCATACACTCCAGAAAACATCCACTGCGTACCATCTTCCTCCAGCGCAAATAGAAGAAAGGGAGAATCTTCCTTTCCACACATCCACCTTTGACACCCACCTTTTATCCCAAAGAACCACAATACCCCCCGCTGTCCCTCCACATTAATCACCACCCAATCCACAAATCTACTACGCCGTAAACATTTCATAACTCTAGCTGTAGCATTAGGTAATTTAGATTCTTGCAAACACACCACGTGCCCCCCATTTTCTAATCAAAGCCTTCACCACCTTCCTTTTGTTTTGGTCATTGATGCCCGAACATACCAAGACACTACCTTGAGCTTCATAGACACACTATCTCTCTCCCCTCTCCTCCTGCCCCCATTACTCTTATCACTTCCTTTTCCACTCCTCCCTTCATAGTTCATATAGGAGATTAGATTTTTGAGCTCCAGCAAGGACTTTTCTTCTGCTTCATCAGAGCTCATCTGTCTATCTCTTGGTGGTAGAGGGAGGGAAGGGGGGCTTTTAGCAATCCTAATCGGAGTCTTTCACAATATTGCAAGACTGTATTATTATTAATGATTTTCCCTCTTTTGTTTACTTTGGTTTGACCTCTAGCTTTTTATAAATGCATTCTCATTTTATTCTTATATTTTCTTGTTTTGTCACTCGTTAATATTATTCTTTGACCATATTGGCTTCAAAATGAAGATGTCAGCTAGTTAGTTAGTAGTTCGTTAATAAAATAACTTTCTTGGGGTTGAATTCATAAGGGAGTTTGAACATTGTCTCCGTTGCTTGCTAATACTTGCCTATAGAAAATTTAAAAAAATAATAATAATAAGGAAAGTAATAGTCATTGATTAAAAGTGATCAGAAAAATTCTGCTTCAACTTGATTGGCATCTGGTGTTCTTTTTTTTTTTTTTTTTTGATAAGTAAGATTTTATTAAAAACACTCAAAAGGGGAGCGGAGCCCAAAGAAACAAAAGGGCCAAAGGGCACCTTAGACCTTCAAAGAGGCCAGAAAAACAATAATCTCCTCCGTAGATCTATAATCTCTCCCTGAAACCCAACAAAAAATAGTAGAAATAATTGAGAACTTAAGCATAGAAACAGGCTTCTTTTTTCCATCAAAATATCTCCTATTTCTCTCGAACCAAATACACCACCAAATGCAAAGAGGCCTAGCCCTCCAAGCATCCTGAATGAGAGCCCCAACAGAGACGCCTCTCCAAGCCTCAATCAACCCTCTGGTGTTCTTACATGTTACAATCCTTTACAATTCCTTCATCCTGTAGTTGTCTGACCTGAAATAATGTAAAGTATCATTGTCAGGCTTCTTTTACCTATTACGCCTACTATATCAAATTTTCCTTGTATCCTTTATAATTGATGTATGAGATGCAACCCTAAGATTTTGGATGGAAGTGAATTTATCAATTTAGAGGGATGAGTCATCCATCTTCCCTTCCATTCCCTCTCCCTTGCATCTCTGCCAAACAATGGAAGCATACTTTATACTTGCTGTTTTCCCTCTTTCCTCCCTTCCTCTCTCTTACCAAACGTTGCGTTAGGGTTAGATTCTTCTGGTTATATGGGTTGTGGAATGTCATGTCAATCTGTTGACATATTTGCAGCGCCAAAGTAGGATGGGATGGACATTCCAAGAGAATGTCTAATCTCATATATGTAGGATTAACTGTTCTTTCTCCAAACGGATGAATTCCAATCCGTGGGAATTATACCTCCCTTCTCATTCTCCGCAAAGTAACTAGAGAACCTGATTGATCAAAGATCCTCCTCCTCAAGGGTTTGTCTGCCCTCTCATGAGAATGAGATCTGTCTAACACAAAAAAAAGCACGTCGCATTTTGGATGTCCACAATGTGAGACTTGCAAAATTAATGGAGGGTGTCAAAGCTGATTGCAAGAGATGTTGTAGTCGGTTATTAGTTATTGCACATCATGTTGGAAGGATTAAATAGATAGTGGTTGAAGTAGGAGCACTTTTCTTGTGGTAAACCAAACCAAAACCTCCTTGAAGTCTTTTGAGTGTAACTAGGCTGATGGTTTGGCATTAAACCTGCCGCATGGTGCTATAGTTGCAGTCATTCAAATTTGTGTCAACATTTAGCTCTGTCGTGAGAGGAGCCTTGGGAGGAGAATGTTGCTAGCAGGCGCAAACTAGTGATCTGTGAAAAGCTGTAAGAAGAACAATATTTTTTGGAGAAAGTTCTCATCATTTGTGGACAAGGGGTCTTTAATAGCTATTTCTCATATAGTTGTGGTCTTTTAGTTTCCAGAAGGTATGATTAGACTTTGTCCATACTTGTCCAAGAGAAAATGATTCAAATCCATTCAAGAGTTTGTTCATAGTCGTCAAAGAGAAATTGATTCAAATGCGGAGGTTAGTTGTACTTGACCTCTTTATGTAAAGCAGTTGGGCATTATTGAGGTAATAGAAAAAATGACTAATTAGCCACCATACTCACTCTAGAGAGCCATCGATGATATTTTTGCCTCATGCGGATCCTTGTTTAACTCTTTCAAAGTGATTGGGTCTTTTTTCCAGGTAGATTATCGGTTCCTCCACTCCATCGCAAAGAGAGAGCAGGACAATATAATTACATTTGTTCAAGCAGGACAATATAATTACATTATGTTCAACTGAACACTTTCCCTCTTAGGTTCCCCCTCCCTCTCGGGATCCGACCACAAACTTATGGTGAGAAAAAGAGATCTTTCTCAATCAATCCCCTTGCCCCGCTTTCTTGGAGAATTGGAAAGATCCTCGTCAAGTTCAAATTTATTCATTTGGAATCTCGGCGTTGCTACTTCGTTTTATTACTAAACTGTTCATACTTTCTAATGTGATCTTAGCATTTTAATGAATGCAGAAGAAACTTCCGTGATGAAGGTTGAGGTTGCAGGAAATCCACCGAAGCTTCACTATGTTCATCCTACTTGTTTCGAGGCTGGCAAGCCCATGGAGTTTGTTGCATGTGGAAGCAATCTACTTCAACCCAAATTCCGGTTTGTACAACTTCCTTCAACAGATATTCCCATCTATGTAATAACTTTCCTTGTTAATTTTTTCCTCAGTAACTTTTATGTGATATTTTTATCCCCTTGAAATAAAGACATTAATAAACAGATTTTTCATGACTTCATTATTTTTTTTTTGATAAGTAACTTCGTTATTAATGCTCTTTTTGGGTGCATTCACCTAAGCATATTAAATTTGGTTAGCGTAGAGAAGAAACAGAAGTTCTGAATGGACCTACCTAGCACACTGATTCTTAAGTAACCTGGATAACTGAAGCTGAATTATCCGTGTTGACCTTTAATAGCTTGAGGGAGGTGGTGGAGTCGAAGATCCATTCAAATTTTAGAGCATATTCTATTACGATGCTCAGCCTGGCAACGGACACCAGATGTTAGCTTGAGTTATACCACCTGCCACCACCAAAGGAGGAGGTTAAGGGAGGTCACACTTGGGGCACAGGTGTGCTATTAGTGAAAAATTTTCTAACCAGCAAACCGAGGCACCCTAATACCGATAAGGATGTTCAGGTAGTTTATTCCTCTCTCACCTGCCACACATCTCAAACAATTTGTTGTTTTCCTTGCCATCTGCTTTTACCCACAAGGTGTCCGGTGGCCCTTAACAAAATATTTAGTAATTAATGAAATTAAATATTATAGTCTAAAAATGAGGAGATTCCTTTTGATCTTATAATTTGTTGCTTCTGGAACCATATGGCAACTTTATTTTCTCTTCTTTAATGGGTTGTGGCATATATGTATGCGTGTGTGTATTTAAGTTATGGTTTGATGTAGGCGTTGGAGGAGGCCAAACTAGTCTGTTTTACAGGATTGAATTGATCAAGGGACTATTAAGTTTAGAGGCCCTTTTTGGCCTTGTGTAGTTCCCTTGGGATACGCTCCCCTTTTCAGCGCTATATATACATTTTACTTGTCAAAAAAAAAAAAAAAATGATCAAGTGAATATTAAAAATGTTTATGCCATTGATAATAGCTATTTCACAGTGAAAGTGCATCCATGTGACTGAAATGACAATGGAAAGCTTCTGGGTGAGAAAACAGGGAAAGATGGTGGTGATGTATTCATGAAAAGTTTGGCATAACAACTGTGAACGCGATAAGGTTACAACTGGGTCATTCGATTGCAGCAAATGTCAGTCATGTCACAGGTAAGGAATGATACGGTGATCTTAAAGGTGCTCAAGGACAATGGGATGGTTCCAGAAGCAAGTCGTAGATATATAAGTAATGGAAGATATGAAAATCCTATGATTTACTGCAAGTATTTTTCCTTTGGTAAGTATGATTGAACTGAAGTATAACCTTAGGGAGAGTCTAATTGCAAACAGAAGAAATGAAAAAAAGAGGAATTTTCTCCCAAATTGATGGAATATGCCTCTCTCGAGTTGAGTCATTATTTAGGCAAAATAAGGGCATAGCTGAAATGATGGACAAATACATTTGTTCCAATTTTGGTGTAGCATCGCTACAGATTAAGGGACAGTTGGAAGCTTGGTCCTTTGTAGTGACGACCAACAATTGCACTAAATGGCACTAAATGGATGTAATGTGCTTTAGGTTGAAGGTTCTACAAGGACAAGGGAATGCTAAATGGTTTCCAGGTGTAGGCGGTGAGAAAGGACGTCGTACTTCATGAGTTATTAGTTGTGGATAGAGTAGAATGACAAAATGAGTTGTATCATTTTCTAAATACTTATGATTAGCTTGTAGAGTTTTTGGATTTGTTGAGGATTTAAAGGCCCTATTTGGCCTTGTGTTGTTTTTGAGGGACGTGTTTCCCTTTTGAACGCTTTTTTAATGAATTATTACTTATCAAAAAAAGAAAAAGAAAAATACTTATGATGAGCCTCTATTGTGTTGAGATGTATTCTTAACCTCAATTGCCTCACCTTAGTTACTTATAGAAGGTGATTCTAAGGTGCAATCAAATTGCAACATACTTCTAGGATACTTGTTGATATTTTTGCCAAACTGCCAGTGGAGTATCATTAGGCCGGGAGCAATATCTGTCATATTTCAAAGATATCGAAGTTTAGCTGATTTTTAATTTCATTTGGTTATATCTTTCATTGGAGGGCCGTTGCCTGGTTAAACCGTTTAATGCTTGAACATTAGTGCTGTTGGTGCAAGTTCAAGCCTGAGAGTAGCTGCTTCGTGATATATCAAAGATTATGTTTGTCTTGAATCCTCCCTTCCGAGGACTAGGGGTGTAAATGAAACCGTGCAAACTGTTACTGTTAATCCAGTCCAAACCAATTCAAACCATATGGCTTCAGTTACATTTCCAAAATAGTAGAATCATTAGGCTTGGTGTGGTTCATGGTTTAGAGGTTTCAAGGACCGAACCAATCTGAACCGAAGACTAATGCATATGTCTATTTCTTTTTATTAATCTGTTCTGTCACACATTCAGTCACGGATATATATATATATAATATTGACCCCCATTCCCATTTACATAAACATATTAATGAAATAATATTCTAGTTCTTGCTGGCATGGTCATTGCTATGTTATTAGTAGAATATGTTATTGGTAGAATTTAGAAATTAGAAATGCACTCTTGACTAGGAATTAGAAGATGATTATATCTGTTATAAAAGTTCAGTTTGAGTAAGGTTTGATTCAAGTTAATGTAATTATTATTAAACTATGCTTTTATGGTGTGAAACTGAACCGATCAAAACCCTTCTCATATGGTTTGCATTGGCTCAGATTAGGTGGTTTCATTGGTTCATTTTAGTTCCATTTTTGTTGGAACCGTTGGGATCGGTTTGGTTCTAGTTCACCCTCTAAATTGAACCAAACCAAACTGTGTGCACCCCTACTTAGGGCCCTGCTGTAGCGGGACTAGAACTGTGTGATGTCCCTTCCCTCCCTTCATTGTTGTTACCACACTAAATTTTTTATTGGTTATATTATTCCTAAATACTCAGAGAACTTGGGTCATTTTACAGATATATAGGGTTGCAAACAAGCAACCTCTGCATTGTTTGAGCTCTGCTTAGTCATTTTTCAGACTTGCTTAAACAAGACTCGCAGTCATGAGGGTGGGATGAGATCTGGTTCGTAGTCCAATTCGTTTGTGAGGTCTGGGTATTAGAAGACTGGTACCTTTTAACAAGGCCCTTTTGGGCAAGTGGCTGTGGAGATTTGGGGTGGAGAGTCCTAGACCTTGGAGAAGGGTGGTTGCGAGCAGATTTGGGGAGGAGAGAGGTGGTTGGTGTTCAAGGGAGGTGAGAATCACTTACGGTGCTTGGGGTTTGGAAGTCCATTCGGAAAAAGTGGGATGAATTTTCAAAACACATTAGATTTCGTGTGGGGGATGGGAGGAGGATCCGCTTTTGGGAGGTTATTTGGCATGGCGATTGCTCTCTTGCCATCACTTTTCCCAGGCTCGTTAGGATTGCTATGGACAGGCACGCTTTTGTACTGGATGCTATTACTGTTTGGGACATATGTTTCTTGAGGCACTTTCAGGATTGGGAGATTGAGGATGCCATTGGTCTTTTGGAAATGGTGTGCAGACAAGAGTTTACAGGGGATGTTTCTGACTCATGGGTGTGGGTTCCTTCTCTCCAGGGTTGTTTTGGTGTTCGACTGTTCGGTCTTTCAATAAGAAGGAGAAGACAGGTAGTGGTCAATTGGTGTTACATGTGTAAAAGAGATGGAGAAACGGTTGATCACCTTCTTTTGCATTGCCTTGTGGCTTGGGATTGCTGAGTCTTACTGTTGAGTTTGCTTGGGGTTCAGTGGGTTATGCCCAGATCCCCCATAAATTTGATTGAGGCTTGGTGAGGTTGTATAGTGGGGGCCCAAGTCCATGATTTTTGGAGGGTTACGCCTCTTTGCATCTGGTGGTGTTTATGGCTTGAAAGAAACAGAGGTCCTTCAAAGGAATGGAGACTCCTATGGGGGAGTTGAAGTTCTATATTATTAGCACTCTTTTTTGTTAGTGTCTAGAGAGATATTGTAAATCCATGAAGGAGATGGTTGATTTTTTGGAGACTCTGAGAGTTTAGAGGCCCTATTAGGCCTTGTGTATTTTCTGAGGGATGCTTTCTCCTTTTGAATGCTTCTTTATACAATCTGAACTTATCAAAAAAAGAAAAAAGAAAAAAAAAAAGACTCGCAATCATGAGAAATCCAGTTTATCGTGCTCGTTGTCAATTCTGCTTGGCCAAATGCATGCATTAATTACAATAGCTAAGCTCGAGCTTATGTTTTATGCTGTCAGCACTAGCTTAAATCAAGCTTGAGCTCAGCTCGTAGTCAAATAGAAAGAATATTGGATTACCTTGCAATCTGTTTACGTTAATAATAATTAAAAAATATCTTTATCTTAATTGAATGAGAATAATATAGTCAAATACAATATTCCTTTTCTTTTGTAGATAAGGGAGTTTTGTCAATGCAAGAATTATGCAAAATTTGTGTTTCGTATTTTAAAATTTCAACTACTGATATATTTAATGTGCATTTGAATTACTCATGATTTAATTTGCTTAGGCTTGTGTCTGGTGTTGCATTTGTGCTTAGGCTCCAAGAGCCTGGCGCCTTGATGTAAAGAGGCAGTCTTTGTAAAGAAATTTAAAAAACTCATGGTCCATCATTGTAAACGGATTGTCATGTGCTAGTATGATATATGCAAAGTCTTTCCTAGCTTCGAATGGACATACTTGAATTTGAATGTCTCACTTTCCAAGCGTGTATTAAAATTCTCAAATGCTTAAGAACGTTGAGTTGTGTGACTTTGGCCCAAGGCAAGTCATGTCTTACAAAAGTTGCATTTCGCCTTATTTGTGCCTTTGAGAAGATGTATTTCTTCAAAATTCTTCTAAACAATATATGTATCTTTGTTTTCTTTGTTTTAAATGGGTTTTCCAATATAATTTGTTTCTCTTGCATTTCCATTATTGGTAGCCATTTGTGGACCTGAAGAACTCTCTACCCCTCAAATTCTATATTATAATAAGAAAACAATGAAACGTCATGCTTAATAAAAACTCCAAATTAGGCTTTTCAAAAAAATAAAACTCCAAAAGAGATGCCAAATCAATGAAATTAGTCATGACAATATTATTAGCTACATCACTGTCGAGGAATCACAATCATATTCAGTAGTCTTTACTTATAAAATTAAAAAAAAAAAAAAGAAAAGAAACATATTCAGTAGTCTTTATCTGGAATCCTGCTTTCTTTAGAGCATAGAAAATTCAATTTCATAATTTTAAAAAAAAAAAAAAAAAAAAAAAAATTGACATAAATGAACAATATCCTATGAGAAACCAATTTACCACTAAAATAAAAAGGAGATGAATTACGAATGAAATTAATGAAAACCGCAGGTAATCACAGATCTACACAATGTTAGTTTCCTCCACATTTGTAGTGCCTCATAGTTGAAAGCAGGTATTTGCATTGAGGAAGTTAGTAATAAAAATGAGATGCAACAGTCTCAAAATCAGTAATTTAATTAACATGCAGGTAGCAGGAACATAAATTAGGTGAAATTTCTTTCTGCTTTTATAAAAAAAAGGTGATAATAGAACATTAATAGATGTCTAGAACTAAACTAATAAAACCACTGTAGATTACACACCAGTGAGATTCAGTTGCAACAATATAACATAATAAGATGAAAAAAAAATTTTAAAAATAAAAAATAAATTTATCAAAATAGAAAAGGAAAAAAGAGAGGAAGAAAATGACGGAGGAGATTTAAACCTAATGTGTGAATAAAAAGATTTCAAAAGCCTTCACAATCATCTATTTCAGTTATTAATTTCCTTCCCTGTTCATGTTCGTGGAAAATGTTAGAAACTCTTGTACTCAATTTGTTTAATGGAAAATCTTTTCAGAACTTTCTGATGAAAAATATTTTGGAAATCTTTTCAGTACTTTCTGATGAAATACATTTTAGGAAAATGTTGACAACTGTTTTTTCATCAAAATAAACCAAGCTTTGTGGGTTTCAATTAGCATCAGACCAGTAAGTGAAGTCATTGCAAAAACTGAAACATGGAATACAGATCACAAGAGTGAGCAAAATCTAATTGATGATCAGATTTCATATGTTTAGATTGCTCAGAGAGTCCTAGATTTAGTAGAGTTAAAAGAAAATCCAACAAAAATAACATAATGAACTCTCTGATCCCTGGCATGTAAAAAAAAAAAAAAAAAAAAAAAAAAAATCTACAAAAAATGGCTCAAAATCTTAGTCAGTTTCTAACTTTAGAAAGCAAAGACATATGTATGTGTGTGTGTGATATATATATATATAGAGAGAGAGAGAGATACATATACATATATATATATAGAGAGAGAGAGATATATACATATGTAGAGAGAGAGGGGGAGAGAGAGAGTAGTTAAGCAAGAGAGGAAACTGTAATGTTGTTCTCAAAACACTCTACTTTTAAATGCTTGTGTTCACAAAATGAGCTTTAAAATTAGCTCGAGCTCAATTCATCTTCTAAAGTAACAAATATGAATGGATACCATGTTCTAACCAAAAGAACTTCTCAGCTCATTGCAGCCTTTGCATATGATGTGATTCTTCTTTTACTCTTTGATATTACTAATACTCTTCTTTAACTGTTTAATGTACTTCTATTCTGATGGCAGGTTTCTTGTGTCTTTTGCTGGGAAGTATTTGACTTGTGATTATTGCATTCCACTTTCTTATAGTAAGACTGGAGGAAATAATGGTTGTAGTCTTGACCATCAGTTATACAAGATATATATCCCCACTACTGAACCAGATCTGTTTGGCCCTGCATTTATAGAGGTAGGAATTTTGAGTACTAAATGTTCTTGTTCATATTTTCTGTTTCATCTCATAGGATTAGTCTTGTTGCCTGTGTTGGCATGCTTCCTGGTCGCTATAATTGGTAATGGCTAGAAACTGATATGGCGCTTGCTACCTTCTTTTAACTGCCTTTAATGTACATGGGACATGGAGTAGTTTCAACATTTTGTAGTAATTTAGTTTTACTACTACAGCTAATTGGATAGATGATATCAATTATGGGACATAACTTCTGTATTTAACTTCATGTTTGAGTATATTATATTATTATTATCTGTTTGGGTGCAATCGTGGTTAAAGTTTTTCCAATTCTATTATCTCTGCATTGTGTTTCTGATACGATCCGTCAGGCATCAAGTTGGTTTATTTCGTGTATTGTTATCATTTATGTGTATGTATGACTGAGACGGTATACTAGACTGAAATTGTCTAAATCTAAAAAATAATATTCTTTCTGGCCACTAGCAATTTTCTATGTTCATGATATGTGTTATATACATATATATATATATATTCTGCTATATTTTTTAGCAAACATTGTTCATCCACTGAAGGAGGTTCTTCTGGACCCTGGACCTGATGTCTAATAGTAAATTATCTTGTGCCCTCAGTTCTTGGTTGTTGACAATAGTTTAATTAATATTCATGGATCGCTAGACTCTAAGACTGAAGAAAGACATATTCAAGGAAAGAATGCATTGACCTTGGAGCTTCAGCTAGAAACATTCAATTGAAGGTGTTGGTTGTAATTGCATTTCAAAGCATGGAAGAAATTTTTAACAACTGTCAACACTAAACCTTTTGTTCCTATTATCTTTTGTAGGTCGAGAATCAGTCTGGCTTATCCAACTTCATTCCTATTCTAATAGGCTACAAAGAGATTTGTTCTGAGATAAAGACATTGCAGCAGAAATTTGACGCCTCTTTCTGTTCAAAAGGATCACAGTTTGCTGCTATCGGTTCTTTGTCTAATTCATGTGAAGTTTTTTTATTGAGACAAAGAGCATTCTCTGAATTTCTTTTAGATATAGCATGGCTACTCAAGGAGCCTACATCAGAAAATATACAGCACATTTCGTCTTCACAAATTGAAAGATTCGATTGTTTGTTGAACTTTCTAATACATAACAACTCCACTACCATCTTGGAGAGAGTGCTACAATATATGACGATTTGGTTGGATAATATGAAGTTAAACACTTCAGCAAATGGCACTGCTGATACTGATATGAGTCCATTGCAGAGGAACATTGATCGTGCTAGAGATATCATTGGTCAGAAGTTCCAAAAAGAAGGGGATTCAGTAGTGTATTCAGGAAGATTTTTGTTGAAAGAAGATTGTTTCAAGCAAAGCTCTGAAAAAGGGATGCTCTCCATTGTTCCAATTACCAATCAGGTGAGGAAATCAATTGGTGTGTGATCAAATATCCTAATATGGTTTTGATAAAAAGAAGCTTTAAATGATTACTAAATTCACTTTAAGATCGGAAATTTCCTACTATCTATGGAGGAACTTGCTATCATACATCTACCTTTTTGTTTTCCTAGTTGGTACTCACACACACATGCCTCCACTAAGGCTCGAACCCCTGACCTCTCTTTGAGAAGTAGGGGTTTGGCACCGCTAGGCCATTGGTCTGGTGGTTATCATACATCTACTTGCTATTGCATTAGACTTCATTTCTTTCTTTTTTCCCCCCTCTAAGGAAAAAAAGAAAAAGAAAAGTTTGAATGATATATTGGTAGGTTGGTAACACGACACTGCCTTAGCGGATAGTGAATTCGGGCTTCGAAATTATCTATTGAAACCTAGGAGGAGGCACCGGAGTTGTGTTATATATCTGCACATTCGGCCTATAAAGTTCTTAATACACACACACACACTCACACAAACAACTTATTGCTGTTTTTCTGCTGGTTATACTAGAGCACTCAGGAATTTTTTATTTTCTATTAAATATTTTTTATTTTCCTTTTTGTGGGTTAGTTTTCCATTAGGCTTGCTGCTTTTACTGTTAAACCCCCTGCCATATGGGGGTCCTTTTTAGTTGTTAATCTTAAAATGTACAAGCATGTAATGTATACTGGTATATTCTATATGGATTATTATGTTCAGTTACATCAGAAGTCTCTCCCCTTCATGGCAGCTCTTCTGTAAATCTTTTATGGTTGATAAAGATTCAGGTCACACTTAATATATTGTGCTGCAGTCAATGCTTATAAAACAGGCATTTCAATTTTCTCCAGAATCAAAAGGTGCTTATCAGTTGATCTGATTGAAGCTTGTAATGATCTCTCTTTTTCTTTTGATTTTTATTTTTTTTCCAAAAAGAAAAATAAATAAATAAATAGAGGAAGAAAGAAACTTATCAGTGCCAAGTCCTTCAGCCCACAACCGCAGCATGCTGCTAACTGTCCGCTTTGGTGGTGGGGAAAGAAGGGAGGAAGGGGTGGTTTTGGGGGTTTGAATACCTTTCTGTACATCAACTTTACTTATGTCTTCTACTAAATAAGTAGTGGTTTGTAATTGCAGGAGATGGAGATGGGTTTAATGTCTGCAGACACAAGTGAGAAGGCTTCACTTTTGAATGGAGAGGTGGTTATGAACGTGAACCTTTTTAAGGAACAACCAAGGAAAACCTGCAGTCGCATTTTCTCTAATACAAATTTGAACTCTCGTCCTTTCATCTTTGTAATTGCTGCTGCTGCTGTTTGTTTCGGGATATGTGCAGTCCTCCTACACCCTAAGAAGGTTGTTGAATTTACAGTGACTATACGCAGAGGTCTCTTCGACAACTCTTAGGTGTTAACAGCACTGATGAAGGGGCTCTTGTTCTTGACCTGTACATACCAATGTACACTGTACTAGTTAGGGTATGCAGTTCAAGTCTCCAGCATGTGGATGTGTCCACCAGGCTGCCGAGCTTGATCGCTGAGTGCTGGTCGTCGCTGCTGCTCTGGTGTTAAGTTTTTGCTCATTCAGATGTGCCAGGACCAGACATTTCCATTACTGCCCTTCGCCTCATTTTTTCTGTTGTAGTGAGATGAAAATTCCTAACAGGTGCGGTGCCCGGTGACTTGGAACCAAGGAAGGGGATTGGGTGGGCAAATCCAGAACCAATGTCCCATGTATCGTCTCTTATATACATACACAACTTGTTATTGGTCTGTCTATTGTTTCTGTACATTATTTCCAGGTGCCTGTGTAAAATAAGTATGCTTCCTTGGTTGGTAGTCCATGATTCAAGCTTTCGGGGGGTTCTATATCTGACCAAACCAGGACCCTGCAAGTGCATATGATGAGCAGATGCACCAGAAACAAATGCTTCAAATAGAGCATATTTTGGTAAACTGTTTATTTCGATTGCAAAGTAAGACAAAATTTAGAAAAGTAACTATATGTGCTCTCAAAATTGTCAAAATGCTTTCACAAAACGGTAAGAATTTAATGGAACGAAAGGCATTTAACCCTTATTGCAGTAGTGATACAGTAGAATGTCCTAAAAATAAGAATGGCATGGTGGGGTTCACTGGCGTGCCTGTGGTCACCCTTAAATTTGTTTCTACAATGCCTTTTAAGTTGCACTTTCAAAACCATGCTTTCACCAGTTTTAAACCATTCGATCTTACGTTTATGCCCTTGGTAAAAAATTAAATTAAGTTTTGCAATTATAAGTTTTGCCCAAGAACAGTTTCTCTGTCTCTAACTAGTTCTTTTTGTTTAATTAGTTAAATAATTAGTGTATTTTCTATTATTTTTTTTTCATCTGTTATATAATTCGTCTATTTTTAAAAACATTAGAAAATTATTCAAATCCTGGAAATTAAATATATATATATAGTGTCACTATTACAGAGAATATTTAATTTTTAAAGTGAAGATTAAAATTGAAAAGTATAATTACAAATTATAAAGTAAAGTTTGGTGTTTGAGATATTTATAACCGATTGGAAAGTGTGTAACCATCCATATATGGATAACTAATTGTTTTAAGGGGAAACTACACTTAGACGGAGTTTGGAGCCTTGAATAACAAAATGGTTTATATTACATATGCATCAATAATTATTATTTAGGTTTAAAATGGCCTTCAAATACTTATTCCAAAATACTAAAAATTATTCCCTAAAAATCAAGTACTTTCTTTAAATAATTTATTTACTTGAAAAATTTAAGAAAATAAGATCTTTCCTTAACTTCGAACCATATTGATGTGACTTTTATATATATACACACACGAGAACTTATACAAATAATAAAAAAAGATTCAATATAGTAAAAAATAGGACAATCAAAGGTTAGTCCCCAAAAAGAAAATTATAATTAAACTCAATAATATAATATAAATCGTCTTTGCTGTGGTGCATGCCTTGAGATGATCATCAATTTTTTTGCTCAATTAATTATATTTGCTTTATAAATAAATAAAAAAATGATTACTGGTGTACCATTTATTTAGTTTTTTCATGATCTCCCTCTGCCGTGCGTATACTGTATGTGTAGATATGTGTGTGTGTGTGTGTATATATATATATATGGTTAAAATTATACATACATATATATATATATATATAATGAATTTCTACTTACCTAAATAAAAAATCGATATAGATTAGGACATACCGTTAAAGTTTTTTGCACACACACACACACATATATATATATGCTGTTTTTTATTTTGGTAATATATACACCATATACAAAAATGTCAAGTTGAAAGTCAACTTAAAAATCTTGTTTTTCTAAATTTTATGAATGAAAGAATTATTTGATTTAGGAAGGATATTTTAGTATTTTGAAATAAGAGTTTGGAGGGTATTTTGGACATAAATAATAGTTATTCATGCATATGTAATTATTTTATCTAACTTGACCAAATTAAAAAATTAACTTTAAAAATAGACCGATTTGTTATTTAAGGCTCCTAAATCTACTTAAATATAATTTTCACTTGTTTTAATACTCCAATCAATAAATTTTGTCTGTCTCAATAAATAAATAAATATATATATATAATTTTTTTATCTGGCATACAAATCACTGACTTGTTGGCAAAATAGTAAGGAAACACAATATAATGAACGAAGATATCACAATCACCTAAATTATTTGATAGCTCCCATTTGTTTTGGTACTCCCATCAATAAGGAAGAATTTGTGCTTGTATTGATACTCTCATCAAACAAAATCACACGAAAATTTTAAAAAGTAGTCAAGTAAATCTAATTTTCTGCAAGTGTTCCATGATAAATACAAAGGTTCCCAAACATCATAATGTATAAGATTAAATGGAGCAGAAGCAAAAGATTCACTTTTATTAAATGGTAATGCAGACTATTTTTCCAATTGACATGAAATACAATAAAAAAACCTCAAGTGTAACTTGGCCTAACAAACCCGCAGATGCTAGGGTTTTGACACGAGATAATGACGCATGACCCAAACGAAAATGCCATAACTCAAGTGTAGGGGAGGTGCACCGTGTAGAGGCAACAGAAATGGTGGTAGTAGGCAGATGTAATGAAGAAAGTTCAAATAGTCGTCCTATCCTACGGCCTGTCCCAAGAATATGTCCTGTCTGGGGATCCTATACAACACAACCATTAGAGGAAATGTTTTGGTCAATCCCAACTCAGTTAGTTGTCCAATAGATAAAAGATTAAGGGAAACATTTAGAACAAGATAAACAGGCGGAATAGATAACTGAGAATGAGAAATAGTTCATATGTGATTAATAGCCATAGTGGAGCCATCTGCTGTGTGTATGACAGGAGAGTGAGAAGTAGGAGTCTGGGATGTAAGTAAGGTAGGATTCAGTCTCATGTGATTGCAGCAAACAGAGTCAAAATACTAAGAACCAAGTTTACTTGGTGTAGTAGAAAAAGCAATGGAAAATGCACCTTGATAGCAAGATAAAACTTAGTTGAGAATTGCCTTAAGGTCAGTTCTAGATGAGGCAGATATAGATTCAGCAGAAGAGTTGTTGATTAGAGTTGCAGTTGAAGGTGGCGGTGACATATATTCAATGTTAGCTACAGCTACATTTGAGAGTTAAGCACGAGTACAACAATAGTTAATGATATGCCCCAGAATCCGACAAAAGGTACAGTAAAGAGATGACAATCCTTTTTGGTGTTGGATTGCTGAGAGTCAGATCGATTGTTATTGTTGCGTCCATTGAAGCCAGATTGATTGTTATTGTTATGTCCATTATGTCAGAAAGATGAGGCAGGGGGATCTGGTGCTCACTAAGATGGCATTGATTGATGAGCAAATGATGGTGTGGCTAGGACAGTGAGATGGTTCTGGGAATAAAGAGTCTGCAAGCGTGTCTCTTCTCGAACAAGTTTAGAGCTTGATTAAATGATGGAAGAGGTGAACGATAGAGAAGTTGATTGCGTACGGGTTCAAAATATCATGAAAGCTCATCCAAAACTGGTAAAGACAAATCTGATTGCGATACTCTAGAAATTTCCTTGATTTAGAAGAATGCTCATGGTTTTGAGAGAGCTAATTGATCCTATAGACATTTGATTCGGGAGAAGAATTCATTAATGCGCTGACCTGATTCTTATTTGAGGGTAGAAAGTTGAACCATTAATTAAAATTGTCGAGCCCCATCAGATCCAGAGTAGCGAAAGGCAAGCATGTTATAGACCTCCTTGGCTGTGTCGTAACTGTAATGACCTGGTCATTTTTCTTTCTTTCCTTTTTTCTCAAATTTTACGAATATTTTTTTTCCCGTTGATTTTTCTTTTTCGAGTTTGGTTTCTCGTCACTTGGTGTAGTCTTGAGTGCTCGGGAATGGTTTCTGAGACCTCTTCCTTTGGATTGACAACTTCCTTATGAGGACCGTGTCATTTCTATATTTTTTTTTCGATACTATTCACTTTTCGTCCATTCTCCGTTTGTCACTTTTTTGGCATAACCTCACTTTCCATGTTCGGAGTTGATTTTTGACTTCACGAGTTTTCATTCCAGTTGATTTCTTTGAAACGTGTAGCTTTACTTTTGGAGAAAAGCTTGTTGGTTGTTTCTTTTTCTCGCAGGGGCGTGGATGAAAGAATTCTTCAAAAACATTTTTGTTTATTGGAGTGTTTTTCATAAATATCTTTTGGAGATATTTTGATTAGGGGTTTTTAAGAAAATATCTTTTGAAAGATATTTCCATTCTAAGCCAATTTTGCAGTTATCCTTTTTTGGAGGGGCCATTATGCAATTAACGAAAGTTATTGCAAAATGCCTCGTTTTGAGCCTGGAACCTCGTACGAGATTCATTTTCACTTTCGTCAAGTCGTTTACTCTTAGAATTGTCTTCAGGTCGTTTTTCCCAGTTTTAGAGTTTCTGACCCCAGTTGCCGCCGGACTTGTTCGGGGCATATCTTTCTGCTCGGGGCTTGGTTTTTGACGTCATTTATTCTATTGTTCATTTTTTCTCATTTTGGTCCTTTTTTGTTCATGGTGTTTTGCCGTTTGAGCACATCTGCGTAGATCTCACTTTTCTGGACCTAGCGGGACCTGTTCGGGGCACTTTTAGAGTTTTTTTATAAATAGGGGGACTAAAGAGAAAAAAGTCAAATTTCTCTTCTTCCTCCTCCCTTGGCCGGCTATCCATGGTAGCCCTTGGGCTGCTACCTTCTTCCTTTTTTCCCGCTTCTTCCCCTTTGATTTTTGCCATGATGTCTAAGGCTTTATTGTAGGCCTTGGCGAGGCCGTCATTGTGATGTTTTCAATTTTTGCCATTTTTCAATTTTTGGAATTTTTTGATTTTTCGAGAGCATTTTCATCTTTTTGCTGTTTTACGTACCGGACATCGTGGAGTGTGTCAGTTGTGTCCAGGAGTTAGTTGTGGCATTTTATTGAGTCTAGGACTCTTTGAAATGCAAGGTTTGTCATTTTTGCTTTTTCCATTTTTCGGGCCAAACGGTCCTGTATGGGACCCTTTACCGGAACTGTTGCATACGAGGATTTTAGTTGGGTTCATTAGCATCTCATGCATTTTATTTGATGTATATTATATGGATCTAATATAATTGGTGTGTATATATATATTTGTGTGTAGTGTAAAATGAAAACAAAAAGAAAAAGGAAAAATAAAAAAAAAGTAGGTGGGACCCACCCTTAGAATGTTTAAGGCTATGAGACCACATTTTGGGTCTCATTCTCCTCTCTTCCTCCCGACACTCTCTCTCTCTTTCTCTATTTCTTGTTTTTCTTTTCTTTTTCATCTAAA